ACAGGCTTACTTTAATGCCTCTAGTAGAAAGTCCACATCATTTTGGTTGGCATTCTAGGCCATTCATTTCCCCAGCTTTATCTCACCTGATTGATTCATCTTCACATATCCTTAAATTCATTCCACCCAAACCGCTCGCTCTTCCTCTCGCCCCCACCCTTAACTGACCCTTGTCCAAACTCCCAGCGGGCCTTCTCCATAACACTGGCCCATAGCAGCTGCACTGTTGTGTACCTGCGTTAGTTGTGTCCATGTCTCACGCCACCCCTTCGAGTCTCTCAGTCCCTGGAGGCCGCAAGCCTCGTGTCACTTATTTTCCAGTTTCCTATGCTGCCTAACAGAGGACAGCTCCCAGAAGAGCTGCTCCAGTTGGCCTAAATGAACCGCGGCCCTTCCATTCCTCTAGGCTGGGCCAGACTAGCGGCTCCTGCCTCACACAGGGGAGTTGCACGGGCTTTAGCGGGTTCACAGGACACCGCTCTCCTAGGGCTCGTTGCTTTGGGGCAGGTCAAAGGCTCAACCCTGGAAGTGAGCCTGGGGACCAATGCCGGAGAGAGAGCCAGCTCTGCTCTGGGTCTCCGTCTGTCTCTGACTCCCTCTTAGGTAGGCGCCGCTCCGTTACCCTTCCTTCAGGATGCTTTCCTGACCCAGCTATCCTCACGGGTCCTGTGCAGCTTCACGCCTGTCCTGTGTGCATTATAGCAAATCCTGCCTGGTATAGTTGTCCTGTGCCGTGAATATGATGTCTTCCAAGTCAGGAGCCCAAGGGGTGTTTTAGGGCCCCTTGGTGTACCCTCTCCCACAGGCCCTGCATACACCAGGGGCTCACAGTGCACATCTGTTGCTCACGAGTCTGTTCAGGTCCATGATGGGACATTGTGTGCCAGTCTGCCCAGCATGCACCCCAGAGTGAACAAGATGGCGTGAGTGAGGACCTGGGAGCCACGGAAGCTGATGGAGCTGTTTGGTGCCCACATTTGTCACATTTGTGTTGAGCAGGGGCCTTGTTCGCTGCTGTCGTGAGCCTAGTACAGGGCCTGGCCCAGGGCAGAGCCTCCCATGTCAGTATTTAAATGAAAGAATGAATGAGTTAACGGGCGCATCTTATCTCCTCCGACAGATTACAACAGCAGTGAGTTGAAAACGGCCTGCAGGAAGCATGAGCTTTATGTGAGCTTCCAAGACCTGGGCTGGCAGGTGAGTTCTCTGGACAACAACGGGGACAAATGTCCTTCCCCATCTTCATGGCAGGGGCTGTCCTCGAAGACCTTGAGCTTTAGGGCCGAGGTGATTCCCATGTGGAGGTACTTGGGAGCTCTTCCAGATGCCTGGGCTTCTGGAGGAAGGCAGAGGAAGGGCCAGGCTCCTTGTATACCAGCGCTGCCTCCCTGCCACCCCTACACCTTCCCAGGGAGCCAGGTTCCCAAGTTCTGTGTACCTCAGAATCAGTCCCACGGTTCCCGGGGCTCTTCTTCCATTCTTTCAGAATCCATGAGGCATGGACTTTGGCGTTTGTGTTTTGAGAAAGGGTTGGAGAAACTGATCTAACAGTTATCCAATGGCTATACATTGACTCACCCAAATTATCTAGAAGAGCACAAATGGTTAGCCCCACACCTGAGAGCCACCACTGGTTTATAAGGAGCAAATTCTAGGTGACAAGTGATAGGAAATCGAGTTTCTATATGCAGATGGCGTTATGATGACAGGGCGTACTCGAGGCTCCTTTGGGTCCGGGTGCATAAAGCCAGCCCCCTGTGCTTCCAGGCCTAGCAGGTGGGTAGCAGCTAAGGCTTGTGGGCCTGTGAAGGGGGAGGGTGCCCGGAGCCAGATGAACTAGGCTCACCCCCTTGCTTTTGCCACTGGAACATGAACGTGGCCTCCCTGGGCCTCCCGGCCCAGCTGTCCAATGTGAGGAGTCCACTGTCACAGGATTCCTGGAGCGCAGATGATGTAAGGAGTGTATGCTGATCACATGTGGGGTCCTTTTGCTCTCACCTAAGGACTGGATCATCGCACCCAAGGGCTACGCTGCCAACTACTGTGATGGAGAATGCTCCTTCCCACTCAACGCGCACATGAACGCAACGAACCACGCAATTGTGCAGACGCTGGTGAGCTCCCGGGGACCCCTTTCGCTTTAGAGGGAGGAGTAAGCCGAGACCAGGTATGGCTTCTAACGGTGCCTTTCCCCTTCTGTTTTGCAACAGGTTCACCTTATGAATCCTGAGTATGTCCCCAAACCCTGCTGCGCGCCAACCAAACTAAACGCCATCTCAGTTCTTTACTTTGATGACAACTCGAATGTCATCTTGAAAAAATACAGGAATATGGTTGTCAGAGCTTGTGGGTGCCACTAACTCGAAACCGGTTGCTGGGGACACGGCCTTGGGTTCCCGGATGACATCTGCCTTAACAAACATGCAGAAGCCCGGCGAAGGGGGAGGCGAGCCTTTGAAGCTGCCCCGGGCTGGCTGGTGCCTTACCGCCCAAGGAAGAACTTGAAGGGCCTCGTTAAGAACTTGCTCCCACAGTAGATAACGTGGGCGGTTGCTGGTCTGCAGGAAGCGGGGTTCGGATGTCTGTAGTATGGAGTCTGGGAACTACAGAAACGTAACTTTGAAGGGTTCCCCCCAGCCCCCCCGCAAAAGAAGAGCCCACCAAAATTAGTTTTAGCTTTAGACCATGCTATTTGTGGTGTTAGTGAGTCAATAGGGAAAATAATCTTAAAGGAGTAAGAGTACTCTTGGCTAAAGTACCAGCCGGTTCGGTAGTGTCCGTCGGAGGTCGATCTACATAGACAACTGGAACTGGGCGGAGATGCCTCCCTTCACAGACGGCCTCGGTGCAGGGCACGTTCAAGCAGGGGCAGCAGCCCGGGCCGACCCGGGGGCTGCGTGAAGTGCCTTTTCTCTCCGCCCCTGCCCTTAGTGTTTGTGCTGGAGTTGAGTCCGTGTGAAAACACACTCACTTCGGTCAAGCCAACCGTGTCATTTCCACACCTCAGTCCCTCCTCCCCCCCCCCCCCCCCCATTAGCTGTTCTCCTTGCTAGCACCCAAAGTAGAGCGAGCGGGCGTTGCGGGGAGGCCGGGGGAGCATGCTAGCCGGGTGCCGTGGGAAACCAGCGCTGCACCTCTTCTCTTCCGGGATGGCTCTCCGAAAAGCACATTCACTCCAGGAACGCCGGCTCTACTCTTTCACCTATTTCAGTAAAATGGCTCTTTGCCTTTTCCTCGACAGCATGCCAAGTGGCGGGGTTAGATCCAGCAAAGGAAACAAAACGGGGAAGGACCGCCAGGACAGGGTCTGGATAGGCATGCCCTTATGAACCCAAATCCCAGTGTTCTCTTGTAGAAAGGAAGACTCAGATGAAATCGTAGAGTATTTTTAAAGTGTCTTTTTCACGATCATGTACTAGGAAGCCAATTTCATACTAAACTGATTAAATAATACATTTATGATCTAAAACTGTTTGCACTTACAGCTTTTTTGTAAATATAAACTATAATTTATTGTCTATTTTATATCTGTTTTGCTGTAACATTTAAGGAAACACCAGACTTTTTTTTTTTTTTAAAGAGTTTATTTAGAAAGTATCATAGTGTAAACAAATTGTACCACTTGGATATTCTTTTAATACAAGACTCATGATGCAAAGCTGAAGCCCCTCATGAGGATTGTGCTTCTCTAGAAAGTTGGGGTTTTTAAAAAACCATCTGTGAACCATACATAATTAATAAAGATTTCCTTTAAGGCAGAGACTGGCCGAGACCCTGCTCTGTTGTCTTCTGCCGCAGGCAGCAGAAGCGATCTTGTTTCTCAGGGTCCCACCCCCCAGTGACCGTGTGTCCACTGGCCGCACTCACCCAGAGCATGGGAAGTGGGGCGAAGAGCGTTGGAAAGGGAGGGATTATGATGAGAAGTAACCTGATGGCCGAGAACATACAGGTATGTATCTTCAGAGAGCCTAGTCCGATGGGTGCTTGTTTTCCAGTGTGACAGTAAAACTGAACAACGCGGATGGCGTGGCTGACGAGGGTGCTGGCCGGGGCAGTAATGAGGCCCGAGTCAGCCCTGACCCAGCCCCGCCTAGCTCAGTCTTTGGTCTTGAGGCCAACTGGATCCCACTCTTCACACACACACACACACATACGCACACACAGTTGACCTCCTCCGAGGCAGACAAAGTACAGTAAGCCTCTAGAACAACTACCCAGAAGCAGGATCTGAAGCCGCTTCCAGCTGGGGGGGGGGCCTCCCTGGTTAGTTCCGATACCCAGGCCTGGGAAGGCTCACCTGAGCCCTCTCGCCCCAGGTGACAACAACCAGACTTGTTCTAGGAGTTAACAGAATAGTCAGGACAAGCCTTGTGGAACTTCCCATGCCCACATTTTCTGTGGGAGACGTCAAGTCTTCGTGATGACCTAACTAAAGAAACTTCCACCCAGGGGGTAACACAGAAGCACTGACACACACACACGTGAGGTTTACGGCCCCAGCATTCTCTTACTCAGGCACGTGTCAGAAGTACCATTGCGTTCATTTTGGCTGACCTCTCGCCGTGAGAGGAGCATTGACAGAAACAAACAGCAAAGCCAGGGAAGGACGTGGAGGTATCTTCCGGAGGTGTGGGCTTCCTGTTTTTAGATCTGCTCCAAGCTACCAACCAACACGTCATTAAGAAGTCAGTTTTGACCTTCAGACCAGGAGTATCACTACTGCGACCGTCCAGAACTCGTGAGCAGCTCACAAACGATGCTTTAGCTGATGCATCATGCACCAGAATCACTCAGGAGCCAAAAATAGTTCAGCAATTTGATTTTCCTCAACTCTATTTTAGTCTCAAAGGAAACCATTGAGATTCCTCAAGAGAAGGGTGAAGGGGACGACAGGTCGCCACGGAAAATAGTTCGTGAAGGGATCGTGAGTTATGTGTTTACTTAGAGAAACTTTGTAAAGAATCTGTAGAGTGTGTTGGCTTAAAAAACACACACACAAAGAAGATACCGCAAGTTTAGTACATTCAGCTCTCTGAAAAACCACCAGGTGGGAGTCCACAACACCAGCATGATTCAGCTCCAACAGCCGGGGCGCGGGAGGCCGGGCGACGGGCCAGTGGGCCCTACAGCTCGTCCCTGGCCTGACGGAGGACGAAGCGGTGCAGCGAGTCGAGGTCCCTGCCGCCGCTGTGCTCGCTGACTCTCCGCCCTCCGCGGAAGAGCAACAACGTGGGATAGCCTCGTACCTTAAAAAAAAACCCAAAAAAACAAAAAACAGAAGTATGAAGACCAGTGGTCCAGGTCACACGCAGATTGCTTCTTAAATAAAACCAGAAAAACTCCTAAAGTTGTGACCAGGAAAGTTTGTGGCTAAATTTTTAAAAGGTACAGACCATTTAAAAAGTACCAGCAAGCAAAGCCTTGGGGCTCCTCGCTTTCCCATCCAAAAGTACATTCGAGATTAGTGTCAAAGGAAGGACTTGACCCAAAAGGAGAGCTTCTGGAGCTTCTGTGCACAGGGCATCACCTGGGACCCCGGAAACACGCACATCCTGATGAAGCAGGTCCAGCTGGGGCCTAAGACTCTGCATTTCTGACAAGCCCCCTGGTGACACCCAGCCACTCTGCGGGCCACACCGCATGGCAGCAACATCCTCGAGAATACACATTTTCCAGCTGCAACAGCTGCAATGCACTTCTTTCCTAAGACGTTAAGGAACCAAAAAAATGGCATCTTCTAGTGAGAAGTAAATGTCTCTGCTACATCTATCCTTTTTTTTTTCTTCCCTAAAGATTTTATTTATTTAGAGAACGTGCACTCACAAGCAGGGGAGGGGCACAGGGAGAGGGAGAGAGAATCTCAAGCTGACTCCCCGCTGAGCGTGGACCCTGACGTGGGGCTCCATCCCACGACCCTGAGATCACGACCTGAGCCGAAATCAAGAGTTGGACGCTCAACCAACTGAGCACCCAGGCGCCCCTAAGTCTATTCTCAAACGAATGCAGTAAGAAGCTCCAGAGCCTCAAAGTGCTTTAAGAAAACAACACAAAAACAAAAACGTAAATTACGAATCTTCTGGGCGCTCAGGTTGTGCTAACAGCTCAGAAAGTGGAAACCGTTAAACAAAAAACGCAAGCACAGACTAGCTTGCTGGGATGGCCCTTTCAGGAGGAAGTTCACTTGCTTCCTTTATTCAACCATCATACCTTAGAACACAGGCTTATGTCTGAAAAATGAGCCACTTAGGGGTTTGAGACAAAGGCTAAGGTCAGCTGACTGTTGAGCCAGCCGAAGAGGCTGTGGAGGTGGCACCCCATTCTCAAGCTTGGACTCTCGTTACTGCCCAGACTTCTCTGCGGACAGCAGGCCCTAAAATCCCCCAATGAAAGGTGGATCGCTAATGGAAGAAAAGCCTTTCCTTTGACAGAGCATCTCTTTTGCTTTTCAAAATGAGAACAAAGCCAGAGCCTCAATGGGACACGAGGAACACTTGATCAAGAAGATGCGGGCAGTGCGGGTTGCCGGGTGGAGCCCAGTGCGCCGGAGGATGGCTCCACGTGGGTGCGCTCCCTGCACTCGGGGCCCCCGGGAGGGTTTTCAGCCACATGTACCCACCGAGTACTTGCTGCAAACATTCCGCTCTGCAGTGCAGTCCACCTCCGCGATCTTGACCTCTGCCAAACCAGGGAATTCTTTTCTGGAGAGTTCCTCCCACGTCGGAGCCAGATTCTTACAATGACCACACCTGGGAAGAGAACGACAGCGCTGTGGAAGTCCTGGGTCTCGCTCCCTCACCTACAGTCTGCTGCCCGGCCCAGCCCGGCATCTTCTGTATGGCCTAGAAATTTAAAATACATCAAATTCTCCCGCTGGGCGCCCTAACCTTTCCTCCTCCTCCGTCCCAGACAAGGGAGTCAAAGTCAATCCCAAGTAGACTTGTGGATAGCCTAGTGGAAGCAAGCTGGTCTGGAAGCAAGTTTAGATTCCAAGACCCTTTCCAGGATGGGGTGACCGGAGCTAACTGGCCTATGAATGAATCCGATGCACCACGAGCACGAGGTGATGGACAGGAAGCAAAACCAACTCCACACATTTTTTAAAAAATGCTTCATTTTAGATTTGATCACTGTGGTCTCGAAGTTTCAGGACAGCGTTAAAGCTTCCCTGAGCACCTGCCCTCCTAACCATTATTTGATCTATATAGCTTCAGGGTTTTGTTTTTTTTAAAAAATAGAAAATAACAGATTTAAAGGCATCATTGACTAGTGTTCCTTTTTTTTTTTTTTAAGATTTATTTATTTTAGAGAGCGAGAAAGCCGGGGGAGGGGCAGAGGGAGAGAGTGAGCCTGAGATGGGGCTCGATCTCACGACCCTGAGATCATGACCTGAGTAGAAAGCAAGAGTCAGACGCTTAACCGACTGCGCCACCCAGGCGCCCTGTGTGTCCAGTCTTTAAGGATAAACGCTGCACAGTGCATGGGGGTCATGTGCTCCCTGACTTCTCTCTGCTGCCGCGGTTTCTCCTGAACACCCAGAATGGCACCAACTGAAGAAGAGCCTACTTATGCCTCTTTAGAAACAGAATCTCACACTCTCCTTGAGACTCTGCTTTTTTTTTTTTTTTTAGATTATTTATTTATTTATTTGACAAAGAGATAGCGAAAGCAGGAACACAAGCAGGGGGAGTGGGAGAGGGAGAAGCGGGCTTCCTGCCGAGCAGGGAGCCCGATGTGGGACTCGATCCCAGGACCCTGGGATCATGACCTGAGCCGAAGGCAGACGCTTAACGACTGAGCCACCCAGGCGCCCCGAGACTCTGCTTTTCTAAGTGGATTGTTTGTGAAGACAAAGCATTCTTCCCATTTTACAGCTGAGAAAACTGAGGTTCAAAGGCAAGAAGGGCATGCAGAGTGACAGCTGTGCAGGAAAGCCTCGGTGCCTGCCGTCCGCCCACCCCAGGCAGCCCTGGTCACAGACCGGGTGTCCTCCTGTGCCCCAGACCCGGGGGCCATGCGGCAGGAAGCTTCTGGTAACTGGGTAACACACAGAACGGCCCCGCCAGAGCTCTGCTGCGTTTCTCGACACGGTCCAAGAGATGAAGGAGCTAAGCTACATCATGATGTTTGTGGTTTAGTTAACCAAAAAAAAATCAATCTACTTAGGAAAGGACAAATACCACAAAACCGAAGTTTTCTACGGCCATCCTGACTCCATTTTCATGTTTTCCCCAAAACAGATTCAACTTTAAAATAAACTGGCCTCGTTCCCCATAAATAACTATGTATGAATACCACCAAACCAAACTTCAACCAAGCTGAACAGAGGCGCAGACACCCCCTTTTCTTACCCCCTACAGCAGAACCTATGCGGAAACGTAGCATCTGCCCAGCGCTGCGCCGAGAGCACGGGCTCACGAGGGGGAAACGGGGTCGGGGCTGGAGCGCGCTGCGGCCGAGCAGTTTCTAATTAAACAGCCACTTACCATGGAGCATAAAACTTGATGAAGGTTATTCCTTCTGCAATGGTGTCCTCGAAGTTCTTTTCTGTGAGTGCCAACACGGTGCCCTGCAGGGGAGGGAAAAGCCGCGGTTCAAATGCATCACTTAGAGCAGAGCAGGGCCATGCTTTGGGGTTGCAGAAATACAAAACAATCATCTTTTTTAAAATGCTGTCATGCAAGGTCACACAAAAATACACAACTCGCATATCACAAGCCACACAAGAAGGGCCCGTGATTCATCACAGGCTCCCCAGGTCCTGAGCCCAGGAGCTGCTTCGAGGAGATGGCAGGCCCTGGGCTGGCACTGCCCTCGGCCAGCCCGAGCGGGCTCAGGTGCAGCTGCTACCATCCGGGACCCTGGGCTGGGGACCCGTGGGCTCTGGGCGGCCCGGGCTCCGGCCTGCAGCTCCCAGGCTCGGAGCCTCGCACACCGACGGGAGGCCCACCCGATGTGGGCGCCCACGCGCTCTTCCTCGCTCTCCCAGCGCGCGGGTTTGTAAAAGGTACCTTCTCTGTGTGCTGTCCCCACACCTGACAGTCGCCAAACCACACGCAAGGATGTGCGTGTGACCTATCACAGGCTGCTTTCCATCTCTAAGTTCAAAGGGAACGTGCAAACTGTTCATCTCCGCTCTGGCCGGAGGATGTCGGGGGAAGGTGCCCCAGGGCGGTCTGCGCTAAAGCAATTTGTCTGGGCGGTTCTTTACAGAATTATGTCCATGTGTTTCTCCAAAAACGGATCTGCGACTGTCTCACGAGAGCAAGACCGCGATGATTTATCATGTGGCTACATGCACCAGGGCTGCTCCCCTTGAGTCTGGCATCGGGTAACGCGCGTCAGTGACCGGGAGGCGAAGCCGCCAAGGGGCCCGCGGCAGAGCCCCACCATCTTTCTTTATGCCCAGAAACATGACGCCATGCTCACTGAAAGACCTACTTCATGCTGGAAAACTGGATTATAAATAGAAACTGGCCTGAGCTTGATGAAACCCTCCACAGTATATAATTATATTCCACTTGGGATGACCTTTAGAACCACGCTGACACACACACTCCTCTAACATACGTGCTTGCGGCTACTACAGAACCGTTTGTTTGCTTCTTAAACCAAACCTTCAACTTTGAACCAACACCCAGGTAGTCCCCAACCTACGAATCCCACTAAAGGATGGGCTGTGGGGGCGGGGAGGCCCATTACTGTCTCCACTCCAGCAGGATGGGGTAGATGACTCTGTTTTTTCCAATTCCAAATAACTAGGGCTCAGGGAGCCATGGTCCCGGCAAGTCAGGATGTGGTAAGTAAATGCTGAGGGTTCAAGGATCGCGGGGGCGGGGCCTGTTTGCACACATCTGCCCACTCACTGCCCCTTCCTTTGCCCACCGTGTCCCGGTGTCCCAGTTAAGAACTCTGCATGCTACGCAGTGTAGTTGTAGAAACTGAAGCAGCAACCTGAATATTCTGTTCTGGAAACACGTCGACAAACAGGTCTTATGGTTCTTAGCCAGGCCATCAAGCACGGTTTTCCCAGGAAGACATCATTCTGACTCCCTGGAGACTGTCCTTCTCACCCATGGCTTCAGCCTTGGCCTCTCCCTCCCTAACACTGCAGACACACCAACCCGCCAGTCAGCTCCAGAGCCCCGTTTACCATCCACTGGACCTCCCCACCTGATCGCCACCACGGCCCTGAAAATCAACAGCTGGAAACCTGAACTCCCCATCTTCCATCCCCACCCCAGTGCTTCTCACACGTGTCCCATCGCCCATCAGGTCCGCCAGGGCTCCGGGCGTCCCCTCAGACGCCACCTTCCCCACTGTGCTCAGTAGAGTGAGCTCCTATGCTTCCTGCCTCCGTCCCTCCGCCCCCCGCCACAACCTTCGTTCGGGGGTCTCCTCATCCTGTTGGCCAAATACACTGGTTTTCCAGCTCTTTCTACCAGGCATCTAAAATTCACATCTGCTCAAAAGGGCGCCTGGGTGGCTCAGTTGGTTAAGCGACTGCCTTCAGCTCAGGTCATGATCCCAGGGTCCTGGGATCGAGCCCCGCATCGGGCTCTCTGCTCGGCGGGAAGCCTGCTTCTCCCTCTCCCACTCCCCCTGCTTGTGTTCCCTCTCTCGTTCTGTCTCTATCTGTCAAATAAATAAATAAAATCTTTAAAAAAAATAAAAAAATAAAAAAATAAAATTCACATCTGCTCAAAACCCTCCACTGGCTCCCAATAAATACAGGGTGAAGCTCGAAATCCTTGGCTGGCCGACAAAGTCCTCTAGGACCCAGCCCCTACGTCTCCTCCGCTCTGGCATCCTGCGCCGCACCCCTCGTCCTCCTCTCCGCCCTCTTCCCTCCAGCCGACTGCTGGCCCTGCCCCAAACGTGCCCGGCCGATTCACGCCCACGGGCTTCTGCTCACTCTCGCCTCCATCGGACAAGCCTGGTCTCTCCGTGCCCGCCATGTCTCTCCGGCAAATACCAATTCACCTTCCAGCTCTTTGCGACGCTTCCTGCCCGTCTGTCCCCAGCTCTCTCAAACCACCGTGACCGGCCCGGCACACACCTGGGGCACCTGCTTGTACATGTTCTCCTCTGTCTGCCCCACCAGACTCGGCCCCCTTCACAGACAGGAAGGTGGTCTCATTTGCTTTTGTTTCGTGGTGGCCTGAGACAGTGCCTGAAATATGCTCAATAAATGCACAAGTGAATCGGGAACGTTCCGCGCTGGGAACGTAGCCAGGCCACAGTCCGAGACCGCCTGCCTCAGCAAATGAAACACGCTAGGCCGAGTTCCAGCGTGTCCATCTTCGCTGCTGCAGCTCTGCCAGGGCCCTACCCCGGGGTTCAAGTCCAACTACTGCAGTAGGTGAAGGAAAGGAACAGAAGCGGGAGTGGGGGGCCTACCTGGCAGCAGTCAATTTTCCTAGCAAATGCTCTCGAGTATAGTGATGACCGAATCAAAGGGATGAGTTTTCCAGAGCTTTTGCCACCAAATGCTCTTAGGCTCGGTCTCACGTCTCTTTCAGAGAAGCTCCTAGGTGTAGGCCCTACAAGCGTGTGAAAGTGGCTGAAGAAAACCTTTCATGTGGAGGAGTCAGCTGCAGCTGACCACGTGAAGTCCTCTGCCGTGACCCCCGACTGTCACGTGGCCCGAAGTGTGGGAGGAGAGTGCCCTCCGGGGGCCACAGCTGGCCCTCCTGACCGCAGCACGCACCCACCTGGGCCACGGGCTCAGTGGCCGGCGCCGGGGCCTCCGAAGGCTCGACGGTGTCCGGGGCCTCTGGCTCTGTGCTCTGCAGCTGTGAATCCACGTACTCTCTCAGCGACTCCAGATCCCGCTTTCCTTTGTACTGGTCAATCTGTCCGAGGGAAGGGCCACACAAAAATGCTGTCAGGTTAGTACACTTCGTGCTCTCAGTCGCTCAAACCTCGTCCCGGCCCCGCTAGCCCACGTGAGACCTCCATCGGACATCTCCGCTGTGTTGGTGCAAATTGTGCAATGTCTGCATGCTCAGATTTACACGGGAGGGCTTCGGCTTTGGTGACAGAACCAGAGCACCTGCCTTCTGCGGGGATCTGGACACGAAGTCAGGAGCCGCTCCGGCCCGCTGAGCAGCCGACCGTGCGTCGGGCCGGACGCGAGGGTGTGCATGAGCCCCTTACCGGCAGCCAGCGTTACCCCCGCTCCAAGGCAGTTCTGGGTTAGTCTAGTGCCCACAGGAGCCAACCGAAATGTTTCAAAATAGCAGGACGACTGACACTTTTTGTCAACCACCCAGATCTTATCAAGGGAAAGACACTTTTGTCCCATGATGTATGCCTTTAAACCAGCGCCAAACAGTCCACACGGGCTCCTCGCCACATCTGAGGACGCACCGGGCTACAGCCCGCTGGGGTTTAGAGAAACGCTCGCTCTCCATACCATGACCTGAAGACGTACCTTCTGCCCACCTCGGAACCACAGAAGAGTAGGATAGCCGCGAACCTGGTTTCCCGAACAGAGTTCATAGTGCTGGGTACAATCAACCTAAAAAGTAAGACCACACTCACAGTCCGTCTCTTCAGGAACCCTCCTGACACACGGATTACTGGACACTCCGTACCTTACGTACCTGGTCTGCAGCATCCCTACCAGCCAGGTGCAGCCTGGGGAGAGACTTCAAAAAGAGCCAGCCCAGTAACACCTGAGCTAAGGGAGCAGCTGACGAAATGTCCTTCAGAGAAATGACACCCTCAGCTCACCTACAAACGCTGATGTTGAGGAAGCCAGAGTCTACCTGAGCGGGTCAGCAGCTGGAGAAGAGGAGCCTGGCCTGACGTCTGGGGCGGGGAGGCCCGGCTGCCGGTGACCGAGGCCCACGCCAATGCCAGCCTGCCTACTGACTCTCATGCTCCAACTGGGACGTTTTGGGATCAAGGAGGAGCAAGGAGTCAATTTTAAATAGGAGTATTTGGTATAAAGACAACTGAAAAGATGCCAAATTAAGATTATAATACGTTCTTAATTCTGTAAGCTCAATTTACCAACTATCACCGCTTTTTAAATTTATTTCATTTAAATCTTATCAAGATTCTGCCTGTTCAACATTTTCATGAAACAGTCTATCCTAAGTCACTTCTTTTTGATTTTCTACGGTCATTAAAATCAGCTATGTGGGACACTAAGTTGTTCTTCACCGTATCTACAAAGTAGGATAAAAATAACACTTTCACATGTAAGACTGAAGTCAGCAGTTAAAGTATTAAACGGAAGCCTCACGTCTGGGTAGGGGGAATTACAGGGTCCAGTCTAACGGGGCCACATGCATGTCCAGGGATGAAGGGCCACAGCCCAGATGGGTGGACTGTCCGCTCATGCCTGGTTCTACTAGAAACCCCTACTGACATAAACTGGAAATAAGCACCCATAAAAATTCACAAAATAATTTAAGGATATGAGGAATTGAGAAGAGGACAAGAAAATTATGACTACTTCCATGAAATGTTCAATAAATAGAAAAGCATAACATGTAGAACTAGAATATATAATTGGAAGCATTTAACAGGCAACAGTGAAAATCCATTGAACTCACAACAACTATTACAATTTACCAGGGCTTTGCTCCGTGCCAAGCATCCTACTAAGCACCTGACGTTCATCCACAACACCCACCACCAGTCAGGTCTCATCGTGATTTTGCAAAAGGGGAGACTGGGGTGTGGCGTAGTGGCCGAAGGCTGGCCGGCCAGGTCTTCGTGGTTCCCGAGCTCACGCTCTTAACCGTCTCACTGCACTGGGCAGAGCATCTCACTAATGGCAGTTCCTGGACACACAGCATTACTTCTGTATACAAATCAGTCCATTGGCAAAGTGAAAAATGAGATTTTTATAAAAGGAAACCCATGCCCGGATGTCTGGTGGGTGCCAAAGGCTGGGTGAGATTAAAAGTGTTTGATGGCCCAGGAGCTGCTCTGGATATTTCCAGAAAATCCACTTACACAGAAGTTGTTAGACACCACTTCTGGCTCCTCTCCGCAAAGTGGGGAACGCTGGAAAGACTCCCAGACAGCCGTGAAAGTTGGGGCTCACCGGGGGAGGGTGGGGGGCCTTCTGCAGGCCTCTGTGAGCACGGAGTTGACAGCTCTCGGGTGAGGTCAAGCGTGGATGGCCTCCAAGTCTGGCCAGTGAACATTCACAGGCTCTGCCCCGTATCTTTGCAGAAAGGGCTCTGGGGCTGCCAATTCAGAATTGGCCATCGCTTCAAAATAAACAAAGGAGCCAAAGCCGTAATTTATCTTTAGGCTGTGGAAAAGCCAGCACATTTGAAACCAGGCTGCCATCTGTGAAGGTGAAATGAATTATCAAGTGGCACACTAAATGGAATTAATAAATCAAGTTTGCGACTTTGCACACAGAATGAATAATGGGCTACCCTGCTAATTAATCCAGCCAAAGGCGGTCTATTTCCAGTTTAATAAGGGCTCTCACTTACCTTGCCAATCTTGACAGCCTCAGAATGTTCAAGGCCCAGAGCGAGCTGCTCCCAGGTCGGAGCCAGAGCTTTGCAGTGACCGCACCACGGAGCGAAGAACTTGATAAAGTGGTCGCCTTCCGTGGAGAGCCAGGCAGAGAAGGGAGAAGGAGGGTGACTGGCATCATCCCTTACTAGAGACTGAATGCAAGTATGTGATCTTTGTCCTCTTGCTAGCTTCAGTGTGAGCCCTTTAACTGGTGAAGTGACTCCATCGAATAAGTCTGTATCTGTGAGTTCACAGGGATCCTCAAAACAAAATCTAATCTGTCATCCCTAGACGACAGGAGGGAACCAACTCATTATTTGAAGAACTGGCAACAAAGGGGAAAAATCAGGCAATTATCCTATCTGTCGTATGTGAACTGTGCCAGTGGGTAACCAGGTGATAAATGAGGGCAAGTTTCTCTCCTTAAAACGATGAAGAAAGGATGTTTTAATTAGAACATCGGCATTTGGCAACCCTAATAAATGAACGGATTGAGGGAAACGTGTTTAACCGCACCACGGGGACACACCTGGCCAAGTCCAGACCGGAGAATTCTACAGGCCCAATAACCCATGTGCTCAGCCACCAGGATGCAGAGAAAGAGACGCTGGGGAGTAACACGCAGACTGAGACTCGAGAGGGACATATGTTAAAGAAAGAACAAGCTAAACTGTAGGGTTAGGAGTGCACATCTGGGTGGTGGATGATACGGTGAGGAGTGGTTCCCATAAAGTCCGGACACCACCTCCGCGAGGCCAGGCGGGCTGGGACCTGGACAGGAAGGGAGACTGGCGGTTCTATTCCCTGAACCGGACGTTACAGAGTGACCACTCCATCACAATTCACTAAGCTCTACATTTGTTTTCTGTATTTGTGTTTTATTTGACAATAAAATAGAAGGTTTTAGAACCTGAGGAACAGGGCGCCTGGGTGGCTCAGTTGGTTAAGCGACTGCCTTCAGCTCAGGTCATGATCCTGGAGTCCCGGGATCGAGTCCCGCATCGGGCTCCCTGCTCAGCAGGGAGTCTGCTTCTCCCTCTCCCGCTCCCCCCTCTTGTGCTCTTTCTCTCTCTCACTCTCTCTCTCAAATAAATAAATAAAATCTTAAAAAAAAAAAAAAAAAATTAAAAAAAGAACCTGAGGAACACTCCCTTGGCTAGAAGAAAAAAAAAAAAACGAAACAAACCCACACAACATCATTGCTTGGATATTGAAGACTTTTTTCTAGGCTGTTTTACCTTGACCAGCGAAAGGCCTAAAAGATGTAGGGCTGAGACCAGACCAAAACCAGGCTGTGCCTCGGGAGGGAACAAACCAACGGGCACCAAAACGTGACCTACACTCACAGAAGGACACTGCCACACCATAAGCTTGTGGTGGGGCTTTATCACCACAGCGAGGACACGTTTAAGGGAAACGGTGAAAAACTTGATTCAAAATATTAGCAACTGACCTGCAAGGCTGAGGCCATGTCTCTCCAGACAGGTACGGCACTAACCCTGTGCTGGGAGGTAGGGACGGGATGTCTGGGAAGGAACCTACTAGAGCATCAGGGACAGCTGTGAGGGCAGGAGGCCACTGTCGCTTTCTGAGGACAGATCCTCATGCGAGCAGCCCAAGGTGGTACCTCTAGAGTTCTGCCCTTTAGGCGTGACTTGCTTAGGGAGGGACCCAACTGGGCTCGTGGGAACTGAAGGGAATCCCCTTTTGCGGAAAATACCTTGAAATCCCACTGTCAGCGCCCTGGTCCAGTAACAACCTTCAACACACAGGGAAAACAGCTGAAGGCATCACAGTGAAGTTCTCTTAGACCTTAAGTGTGGTGGGCTTTCGACTCGCAGCGGGCATGAAGTTACAAGGCCAGGCACAATTTTAAGCCCTTTTCACGATGCTTCCAACCTAGTCTTTTGGGAGGATTTCTCTCCATGGCAGCATTTGAGAATGGAGACCAGCAAGGAAGCTGAATTTGCTTTCAAGTCATTCGATGCTGAGCCAACGGTTCAGAAACGTGCGAATAAAGGACTTATGTGTCATTTATATTAGAGACTGTATATAGATCATTTTGATATTTAGGAGACCATTTTCAAAAAAGATGTGATACAGAAAAATATCTTAAGTGTAAAGAACACCTACTCTGATTCGCAAGTTATAATGGTCCTGCTAAATTCTGGTTTAAACAAGAGAAACTTCTGTTTCTGCCTCAGGTCAGTAACTGTATGATTCACATTAATATAAATAAACCCTTTCGTATCCAAGGATGCACTGTCCAGCTAGTGTACAAATTAAGTGTGCCCGTTCATGATTTGTGAGCTTTCCACAACTTAAGGCTTCGGCTAGCATTACAACTGGCATTTCTAGAAGGACAGAGAGGAAAGGAGAAATCCCTTCCAAGAGGAAGAGCCCTGCACAAGGATGTGCACGGGTCTCGAAGAGAGACACCACAGCTCAGGGCCACAGAAGTCATCCGGGAGCCCTCGAGTGCCAGGAAGGGAAAGCCCGGCAAATCGAGGAGTGACAAACAGTCGGTGGTTCTGAGAGGTGTGTATCCCACTAGGAACAGCCCTGAGATGCACGCAACATACCTTGTGCGACGTGCAGCTCAAAGTTGCTCGCTGAGAGCTCATACAGTCCCTGCTTGTGCTCAGGGGCTCTGGGGGGCTCTGCTTCAGGCTCTGATATCTAATGGAGGGAAACACAACAACAGTCATTGGGTCCGTATGCAAAGGCAGAGTGAAATCCATTGAGGAGGGGACCTGTGTCTGTCTAGAACCTTCTACAGATCTCCTCCCTCATCTGGCTACGTCAAACCTTTGTGGGATGCTGCTGTGTGGAGGGAACGCAAGGCAGGAATCGACTCTCAGGGCTCTGGACCCTTGGGCGGGAAGCCCCTCGTCAGTCTCACCCTAGGACTGTCACTCAAGGCCACCAGTGACAGCCGTCCCCACCCCAACCTGCCTCTGCTGCCCCCAAACCCCAGAACAGAGCAGGCAAACCAAAAGGACAGGCCCACACCAAACGGGCTCACTGCCCTGTTGTTTGCAGTGTGACCTCTCACTCCACGTGGGGCTCAGGATGAAATCCCTGGTGGACTGGCTCTGAAGGACGGAGCACCTCCAGGTACAAAGGCAGCAGAACGGACGGGGCAGAGAAGGAGAGACCATCAGAGAACGGGAGGCCTGGCCCTGCTCCGTGCACACAGCTGGTGATAAAGACCGTGAAGGGCTGGTAAAGGGACACAGGGGGCGGGGAGGACAAGGCAGAGACCGACAGGTGGCAGCGAGAGAAGCGCAGGGCTGCGCTAACTCACAGCACAGAGTCTGGGACAGAAACACACAACGCGGGAGTGAGAAGTGGTTTTTTAAAGGATGCTTCTGCCAGTATCTAAGTGGGTACCGTTGTGTGCAACTGGACAGTTACCACAGTACCCGTGACTCTCGATCTCTCGGTTCCACAGTGGTGGCCTCCAGCCAAAGTGACCAGAGGTGACAAAAAGATCACAGAATCACATTTTGCTACAGACACATGGATGTACGTTACTCAATTTTTATCTGGCAGCTCATATTTCTTTTAAAAAGAATACTGGGGCGCCTGGGTGGCTCAGTTGTTAAGCATCTGCCTTCGGCTCGGGTCATGATCTCAGGGTCCTGGGATCGAGCCCTACATTGGGCTGCCTGCTCGGTGGGGTGCCTGCTTCTCGCTCTCCTCCCCGCTCCTGCCCTCTCTTGTTATCTCTCTCTCTCGTTATCTCTCTCTCAAATATATAAAATCTTTATTAAAAAAAAGATAAATAATATCCCAATTAAGTCATTAAAAGTCTAAAAGTGCCGACAGCTCAAAGCTGCGCAGAGCTGTAATCAGAAAGCACCACGAAGGCGTCCGTGCGGCTGCGGGCCTGCCGAGACTTTCGGCGTGCCCACTGAGCCCCCACACGGAGAGATGCCCGGCAGAATGGTGGCGAGGTGAACAGTGAGCTCCCGGAAGCTGGGACACTCCATGTCCCCCTTTATAAGGTGTTCAAAGGGCTTCCAGTACTTTTCAGTGTTAACATGCTCACGTACGGCACTGTCACTTCCTGGGCCCCGTGGCACCCACCAGGGCAGTGCCCCCCGCCGTGGCAACACGGCATAGCGCACATGCGGGCACACGTGGGCACACGCGGGCACAGACACAGGCCCTCTCTCCCCCGCTGACAACGTGAGCGATCAGACAATAGTCATCAGCAGCCATAATTGTAGTGTGACCTTTTTTTTTTTTCCCTTTTGCCTTGTAATTTCATGTCCGGTAATAGATTCCAAAAACATCATTTAAAAGTAGAAAAAAAAGTCTTTTACAAAGATTAAAATGTTCCTTACGCATTTCTGATATTTATAAATAACCTAAATATTCACTGACAGAGAAAAGTTGAATTATGGCAAATCCACATGACAATATAAAATATGATCAATATAAAGATGTAACTATATAAAAATATCACTCGTGAAAAAAACCATGTTTATATGATTATAACTCTTTAAGAAAAAATAATACAGAAGCAAATAGGGAAATCTAAAAGTTGGAAGTAGGGGCACCTGGGTGGCTCAGATGGTTGAGCATCTGCCTTCGGCTCAGGCCATGATCCCAGGGTCCTGGGATCGAGCCCCACATCGGGCTCCTGGCTCAGCGAGGAGCCTGCTTCTCCCCCTCCCTCTGCCTCTCCCCCTGCTCATGCTCTCTCTCTCTCTGTAACTCTGTGTCTCAATAAATAAAATCTTAAAAAAAATAGAGTTGGAAGTAGCGGGTTTCTTTTGAGTTTCTTTAATATTGCCACAACACGGTGGGGGGGGGGGTATCTACATTTATCCTGTTTCAATATGCAAGTGTATACATCAAGTTACTTAGGTATAAACACAGATAAAGAACTTTTTAAAGTTTTCACGTACAATAAAAAACAAGTTTAAATTGGAAAGAATTTCCAGTTTGCAGTATCAGGTTTTAGTGTTTGAACTTTCCTACAATCAATCACTGTTTCCAGCAATTATGGGAGGTCTCTACTGTTGACACGTGGGTCCACGCAGCCACGCCCCTTCTACCTGGAGGGGACACAACCCTTCCCCTCAGCCCTTCCCAGCCTGCGCTGGGGCTGTCACTGCCCGAAAAGGGAGCTTGGGGCACCAGATGAAGTCCTTCTGCCGTCCTGATACTAGCTACCAGTTTCTCGAATAAAGTCATCACAGAAGACTGGCTTTTTGGTGGAAAAAAATACTGGCAAAAAAATAAATACCTTGAAAAGTTTCTTTGAGACTATTAGCCCCTCTTTAAAACTGGCTTCCTCCAATCAGAGAACATTTTCACAGAGGAAACAATCTGAAGTTTAAATCTATATGAAAGTCCCACCTGCTCATGTAACTCTTGCCATGACAAAGATGCAAATTGACTCTCTGAGAGGTTTGTGGTTTTCCCTGTTACCTAAAATTAGGTAAGTCTCTGTTCCACACTCATTCAGTACCATGCAATTACAGACTTTGTAGAACAGGAGGGAAAACAGCACCCGAGTAGCAGGTGGGTTTCTGATGAACCGTGACATCTACACAGAATGGGGGTGGAGGGGCAAAGGACCACACAGTCACCCTGGTAAGTGACTCCAATAGCAACAGAACCCCCCAGAGCCTGCTGGAACCGCACATGGGCACGGACCACCTTCAAGGCAGTGAGCCCCTACCTCGCACAATAAAGCAGTCTTACTGAACTGTCCACTGAAATTACACTCAGAGTCATCAGACTCATCCAGCACGGGACACTGGCCATCTTTCCAGACCCTCACCAACACACGGCCACGAACTGTCAACTCCAACCCAGCCTCCGTGGGCCTGCGCACTCTGCGGGAAGCAGAACGTACCACGCACGGAGGGATGAATGAATGGTTCATGACCATAATGATGTGTAACAAAACGAAGACTCCCAACATCAATTGGAGGTGGGGGGGGGTAATAAAATTTTCTTGGTAACCTTCTACACACAGCCACGTCTTTACATAGTATTTCAGAAATCACAACTCTCCACAATTTCCTGACATTGTTACCCTCAGCGCAGGGAGGGCCACGGAGACTCAGAGTGCGAAGGGTATTTATTCGATGAGATTATCGGCAAAGCCAGTGAGCACCTCAGGGACGGAGAGTCCAGAGCAAAGGAGGGGTCACCTTGCGGGACAGCCCGTGGTGTCCAGAGAGGGCCGAGGTTGGCCTGGACGGGAGGTTCGGGCTTAGGCCTGCTCCTGACCCCAAGTCAACCTGTGACGCTAAAGCATCTGTGTCAACCGTATACATGTGGGAGCGGCACAGAGGCCGACGTTACCGCAGCGTACGTGTGAGCCGCGCACGGCAGTAGTCACAGACGACAGTCTCCCAGGGCGGACGCTGCCACCGCACGGGGGCCAGGAAGGCCGCTAACACAGTCCCGGCAAGGTCGGCAAGGCGGGAGAACCGCTGAAGTCGGGGAGCAGCACAAGGGACCATCTTCATTACCGTCCTCCTCCTCGTTCAAGAGCCACTCACTACCCTTTCTACTTTTGTGCACCTTTGAATATTTCCATAATAAAAAGCCTTGTAAAAGTTCATCTTTTTCCACTGAGGTACGCAGAGCAGTGGAAACAGAGAGCAAAAGTAGCTGGGGTGGTTGCGGGGGGCTGGTGTTCAGTGGGGACAGGGTTTCAGCTCTACAAGATGAAGAGTCCTGGGGATGGCTGCTCAGCAGGGTGTACGCACTTAAAGCCACTGAATTTGTATGCTTAAAAATGGCTAAGATGGTAACTTTTGTATCATATGTATTTTACCACAATAAACAAAAATTGGGAAGGGAAAAAAGTTCATTTTTACTTACAAATGTCAATTAGTTCTAAAGGCTATAAAGTTGCTTTGAAATGGGAGACTTAATTTTTCCCCTGAACTGGCTTCTTTATCGCCCCCGAAGTGTCAGAAGGGAGAGAGCGTGGAAGACAGGGAGGCCTCCCGTGCACTCACCGCAGGCTCCTCGTTCAGCGTCTGCAGCATCCAGTTTTCCAGCGCCTGGAAGTCCCGAGGCCCCTGGTACTTCACAGCTTCTTGGCCAGGCTTGAAAAACTTCAAGCTGAAAGGGCGAAAGAGGACAAGACAGAGCAGATTTTTCAACCCATCAGAGGGCTCCACGTAGACAGCGCTGTCCCGTTGGGATGCGGTCAGTGGGCCTCAGCCTGGCACAGACCTGCCACTCTCTGCTAGAACTTGGAAAAAAAGGAAAATAATGTCCTAGGAGAACACATATCCATTGAATCCCACACTTTTAAAAACTTTCTTCATCTATTCAAGAAAAATAAGACTGAGTGGAACACATCAAGCCTAGGAGACTGCGAACGAAACCCCAAGCACATTCGGGTGACAGGCCTTTCAAGCTTCTCCCTGCTGGGTGTTTGTCATCCCTCCTAGGCTTTAGTAGTTCTTACATTCCGCATTTGTTAAAAAAACAAAACTGTACTAGAAATAGCACTGTTGGGCAATCAATGTATTCCCAGGCGACCCTGTCGGCTCTTCGACTCTTGTAAAGGTTCTGTGAGAATTCACGTTTCCAGCTATGAGAACAGCCTTGACATCGGTTGGTTGGTCTATGCACTTCCCCACAGAGAAGGAATCTTCTTTTTCTACATATATTAGCCTCTGAAGGTATCTGCGGATAGGATGCGTAGCACTTCCTTTAGTGGGTGTGCAAGACATTGCCAGAGGCCGAAACTTCCAGATCCTGTATCATCCCACTGGTAATGGAAAAACATACTCTAGAGAAAACTGAATAGAAGGTGTCAAGGATGGAGGGGAGTATGTGGCTACTGACAGAAGAAACAAAACACAGACGAACATTTTTCGGCCAGCTATGCATCCATATTGCCCCTCCACTTCCGTGGCACGAGCGTGGACTCCGGCGGTGGACACTCGGTGTGCGGGAGCCAAGTGTCAAAAGCCGAGATATACGGGCGCCTGGGTGGCTCAGATGGTTAAGCGTCTGCCTTTGGCTCGGGTCATGATCTCAGGGTCCTGGGATCGAGTCCCGCATCGGGCTCCCTGCTCCTTGGGAGCCTGCTTCTCCCTCTGCCTTTCTCTCTCGCTCTGTCTCTCATGAATAAAAAAAAAAAAAAAAAAAAATCTAAAAAAAAAAAAAAAAGCCGAGATATGCAGAGATCAGGACTGTGGGCTTGAGGAGTGAACTCCCCAACGGCCTTAAAATGAAGGTTATTAGCTGTACGGGGAAACCAACACGTTGGCGGGAATAAATCACCACAGGCTTCCAGGCCTCAGCCACCCTGAGATCCTGTGACAGACTTCGGGGACATCCTTGATGGGCCTCCGGTGAAGAACAGAGGCCCTTGCTTCCTCATAGCTTTCACTTTTCCAAGCCTAACAAAAAGCCAAACTCTAACCAGTCTGACTAGTATATCCGTCACTTCACGAACTTTAACACTTTGAGTGACTCCAAAGTATGATCTCACAATTAAGAATGCCCGCACCCACCCCTGGGACTTCAGGAAGCTCTGGAAACGAGTTATGCCCACAGAGAACTAGAAGATGCTTCATGCACTCCTTCGCCCCCCCTTCCCCTCTCTCTCTTCCAGTGGGTGCCTCCCCCACCACGGTTCCTCAGAGTGGAAAAGGCGTGGATCCTCAAAATACTAGGAGGACCAGCACTATCACACCCATTCCCCATTTCTTTGCTAACGTTTAAATGCAGTGACTAACCTGTGACTTTTTCTGATCTGGAGTGTAGTGAGCAACACACAAATAAACAATTTTTTAAAAATCTCTTCTTGTTGGATTGGCAGTCTTTCCAGCCTGCCCAAGCCTGAGGTGCTTCCTTAGGTTCACAGAGCCTAGGGATAGAATTAGGGCTTCCTTCACAGGCCTTCCAGCCTGGCCGGGGCATCTGGCCCCAATCTTCACTGTGGATGGGCTGAAGGAGGTGATGGGGAGGCGGCCACAGGGTACAAGCCCAAAGGACAGCCCCAAACTCCCACATGGGCATTTGCTTTTCCCGGTGATCTGTTTCTCTTTCAAGGAGAAAATCTCCACATGTGGGTCACTCTGGAAACCTGTGATCAAGGTCCTAGAACTACAGAGGAGATGGTGTTACCAGCTGACTTGTGTCCCCCAAAGCAGATCTGTTGAAGTCCCAGCCTCCTGTCCCTCAGGGTGCAGTCTTATTTGGAAATAGGATCTTTACAGACGTCAGCAAGTGACAATGAGGCATATCAGGGTGGGCCCTAATCCAGTGTGGCTGGAGTCCTTATAAAAAGGGGGAAATTTGGACAGAGCGAGAGAGACACGCACTGAGGAGGAAGGCCTTGTGAGGACGGAGGATTGGGTGCAGCCGCCAGCAGACATGAGGGAGAGGCAAGAAGGGATTCCCCTCCGGGTTTCAGAGGGACCGTGGCCCTGCGGATGCCTCGAAGCTGGGCTGCTGGCCTCCCGGACCGTGAGAGGATAAATTTCCGTTCTCTTCAGCCGCCGGGTGCGTGGCGCTCGTTGGCAGCCCTAGCAAACCCCCTCCCTGTGCCATCCTTTCTTTCAGTTAAAGGTGCCAGGGCTGGGAGGGCTAAAGACGACCGCACTGAGCCACCGGCTTGGGCATTTGCATTCGTCCCCTGCTGTGGGTGCCTGTGGGGGGGCACCCTGTGGGGGGACACCATGTCAGAGGAAGCAGACGCTCACAGGTCAATGCCCGAATGCCCTACCGAATGCCCTACCTGCCCTACCGGGGCACACCCCCTGCCTCCTGCATTCTAGGAGAAAAACCTGCCCTCAGGCACTTGGGCGGGGCCATGAGGGACACAGAGGTTCCTTCCCAAACAACATGTTCAGTGTAGTGTGAGCTCACTTCCAGTTCTTCTTAAGGACACAAAACCAGTGCATGGTGTTCTTGGAGAGACCCTATCTTCTAAATCAGGACACGTGATCCAATGTGGCTCTTTTAAAATCTGTGACTAACAGGGCGCCTGGGGGAGCTCAGTCAGCGGAGCATCCCACCCTTGATTTCGGCTCCGGTCATGATCTCAGGGTCGTGAGGTCGAGCCCCGTGGCGGGCTCTGCGCTCAGCACAGAGTCTGTCTGCTTGTCCCTCTCCTCTGCTCCTCCCCCTGCTCGCTCGCTTGCTCTCTCTCTCCAAGAAATGAATAAATAAAATCTTTAACACCTGTGGATAACATCTGTGGGGTAACTGATGTTGCAGCCAGACAGCTCCTACGACCAGGTCCAGGTGGAACCCTCTGACGTCCCCTCTGACGCCCCCTAACACTTGCCCTTCTCAGCCTATCACGAGTCCGGTGTCACTTCCCAGGGGTGTGGCTGGGGGTGGACAGCCACATGGCCCCACACGGCTGCCTGTTGAAGAGCGACACCACAGCCAACCATCTCGGTTGCCCCTGCACCTTGAAGGCGACAGGCTCTCAACAGGTAAACCTCTATCTCCTCACCTGCTCCCACTACTCACGGATGGCTTCTTCGCAACGCTCTTAGTCTAAGCTGAGTTCCCTTTAAAGACGATGCTATGAAGCACAGGACAGTGATGCCTCTAGGGCAGGTACACATGGTAGGAAATTTTCTCTCTACTGATCTGATCTGCATGATGGCACTTAGATTAGCGGCAGTCACCGAAGACCAAGAAGTCCAGTGTCCTTTACGACAATGCCAAATTTCCAAATGTTAGGGAAAACCTTAACATTTATTGGGTATGCTCAGATCAGTGTTTGCAAACATGTTATTTCACGTATCATGAAATCATGTATCAACATCCTACCTTAGACTCAGAGGTTAAACCGTGTGGCCAGGGCTGCATGATAAGTAAATGGTAGAGCTGGGATTCGGACGTGGCTTCTAGGTTCCAGCCCAGAGTTCCTTCCCCTTTTCCATGCTGCCTCTTGGGTTTGCAGACAGGCCCAGGTTTTATAAGAATTTACTTCATTCATCAATTTGAACAAAAAGTTTGGGAGTGCCAGTGGCCAATCCCTGCTACCCTACCCCGCCCCCACCCCCCCCATCCCCCCACCCCCAGTGCTTTTGGAAACAGCATCTGCTCTTTTTTGGAGAAGGGCCCTTCACTCGAACGCTGCTGCCCTCCTACGATATCCTGCCTCTCCGGCCACAAGGGCTGTTTCTGGAATGAACACTCCACCCAAGCAGGGCCAGTCGGCGGGGAGCCCAAGCCCAGCATGCCAGCAAAGAGATGCAGAGCTGGAGAGGTAAGTCACCTTAAGGGAAGTGCAGGAAAGACAGGCCCCCAAACCCTGCGAGCGGAGTCTCAGAGCTTCTTCCATGGCCTTCTAATTAATCCTCTCTTTTGCTACTTAAGCCAGTTTCAACTCCTATCTCTTAAAACTAAAAAATTTAACTGTCAAGGGAGTAAGAAGCATCGCTTGTCAGAACTTCTGGATTCCAGTTTGTCACCTTTCTTGCCAACAGAAACGGCCCTTGTGCTCGCCGCATGGGAAATTGCTCCAGGAAGGATGCTGAAGAATAACAGAGCGACCAAAAACTCAAAACTGATGAGGAGCTACACTGTCTTGTCCAGGTTCTTGTGAGCACCACGCCTGACAGGACGCCATGGAGCCCGCCATTCTTGTCACACGAACACATTCTCTTATAAACAGGAAAACCCACCACTGGCTAATGAAAGGCTTTTTCCAAACAAAGCACAAGGAGGCATCTGAGAGAGACAAGACCCAGCGTTCAAGGCGCCCTTTCCCTAACGACAGGGACGGCCCGCTTAAACTCATCATCTCCTCACTCCTCGGAACTACCAAACAAGTTACCACAAGCTCGGAGTGAACCTCCTCTGGCCGAGCACAGCTGACAAACGGCTGCGGGAAGCTCGGGGCGAGGCAGGAGACAAGGGCCCTTCCCACTTACGTGGGGTATCCTCGAACCCCCTGCGCAGAGCACACGTCGGAGTCGGCTGTGCAGTCCACTTTGGCCACATAGACCTTGGCATCCTCCATGCTGTTGTACTTGTCTCCCAGGTCGTTCCAGGTAGGCTGCAGTCGCTGGCAGTGTCCGCACCTGGAGCAGGGGGTGGGGACCGGTCAGGGCGCACCCGACCCACCTCTTCAGCCCCTTCCAGACCCGACGGCTGGGGGAACCTCTCTGATCCCGCAGGGAAGGACGGCTCACCATCCCCACTGAAGTCACAACCTCATTGCCCTGCCTCACACGCTCCATTGCCCCTGCATTGTTCTCAGCAGGAAACTGAAACTCAGCAAGATCCCGTGCCCACCATCTGCCTGGCTCTGGCCCCGGCTGCCCTCCCATTTGCGCTCCGTACACCTGCACCCTCCTGCCCTGGCAGTCGGGCCGGAGCCAAATGGGACCACCTGAGGCTTTCTGGAAGGGCCACAGTGTGGCTTGCCCTCCGGGGATCGGTACCCGCTCGGACACTCCCTAGACCCACCTGGCAAATTCCTGTTTGCCCTTCAGGTTTAGTCTGGGTGTCACTTCCTCCAAGAAGTCAGCTCTGACTCCCCAAGCTGTTTGGTGCCCTTCTCTGCTTCCTCTGGAAAGCTCCCTGGCTCCCCCCTCTTCTGCAGCAACATCACCCTGCTCACCATGATTGCTCCTTTTTAGTCAGGACTCTCTATTAAATAACTAAGTATCTGCAAATGCAAGGCGACCTCAAATTTCATGCAGTTCTACACTTTCTCTAATGAGAAGCTTTATTTAGAAAACTCTATGGCGGGGCGCCTGGGTGGCTCAGTCGTTAAGCGTCTGCCTTCGGCTCAGGTCATGATCCCAGGGTCCTGGGATCGAGCCCCGCATCAGGCTCCCTGCTCCGCGGGAAGCCTACTTCTCCCTCTCCCACTCCCCCTGCTTGTGTTCCCTCTCTCGCTGTGTCTCTGTCAAATAAATAAATAAAATCTTAAAAAAAAAAAAAGTCTATGGCTACCCAAACTTCTTAATTTGATGTCACCAAGTGTACTGACTGTATGAATTTAGCAGTACATTTTTAAATCACCTACTTAAAATAATACGTTAACTTAGAATTCTTGCTTCTTGCTAGTCTTCCCATTTCTTGACAGCATCAGCATCTCTCCCATCACTAAATCACTTTTTCAGTCATTTAACTGATCATCTTCTTTAATTATCAGCCGTCTGCAATGCCCTATTTGAAGTCTGTATGAGCCAGCACTGGAGACTTTGTCTCAAGCTTCAAGTACGCTCACACAGAATTATGGCACATGGAGGGTTTTTCTTTTGTTTTGTTTTGTGGGTTTTTTTTGCTTGTTTGTTTGTTTTCATTCACCTGGTGTGTATTCATGATGTCTACAAAGTAACAAAGTTGCTGTACTGCTTTTCAAAGTGATCTTTAAAATGCTTGCTTCTAAGAACACCCAACACTTAAAATTGTCAATCTGTCCTCAGAGTAACTTCTCAACAAAATCAGTGTTAAATTTCTTTGCCTCTTTTCTCTTCTGACAGGGGACATGCGTAATCCGCACTGAAAGGCAGCACTGGACAGGTTTGCTTCCCGCTTCTGCAAGTCCCCATGCACCACTTCATGGGCAGCCAGGAGAATGCCTGCTTTATAAGAAACTCGAATACAGGATGATTCCCTCTTTCCTGAAGACAACTGTGAGGGAAGAGTAGTGCTACATGTAAGTTATACCGTTACATATTCAGTTATATAATTTAAATGGTGCAAGGGCCATGAAGACCAGCATTGTTCTTTTTTAGAGCTGTATTCCCAATACCTAGCACATGCTTGGCAGGGACTCAGTTTGGCAATTTCTTAGTGATGGATTGACCCACAGGTGCCATGTAGTCAGAGCTTCTGGTTTGGGACCCCTGTGGTTATAGTAAGAACCTCTGAGACAGTAGCTGAATTCATTTGGTGGCCATGTAATACAGCAAAGCCTCTGGTCCTCCCAAGGAGGTGGCCCCAGCCTTGACCTCATCGTCACCAGATTCAGTGTGACCTGCAACTGGCCAGACAGAAGCTGTGGCCTGATGTTAGCAGAAAATCCATAGCAGTAGGACAACCTTACATCTACCAAGTTCAGAGCAAAAATATACAGGGCAGTATTTTTGTTACATACCACCCCTGCCCCCAAGCCACACGTGGGCTTCCAATATCCCAGAGACGGAAACTGGAAAGAGATGGGGGGAAAGGGGTAGCCCACTACATATTCTATCTGAGCTCCAATCTGTTCTTAAATGCCATCAGAGAAACCCACACACCTCTATTTAAGTATTTTGTAGTAGAGTATTAAGAAGCAAACAAAAACTTTACAAGTAACTTTTCTGAGAACATCCATCTAAAAAGGAATTTACTTAATATCAAGTGCCCAGATTTGCCAGTCTTGTCCCTCACTCAGTCTGGGACTAGCTGGTACTACAGAGACTCCAAAATTAAAACTCCATTGGCACTGCATGGACTTTATGTATCTACAGGTCAGTTTTTCTTTAAAAAATAAACAAGAAAAAAAGCCATGGACTTATTCCACTGAAATAGGCTCCAATTAAGTAGTGTATTTAATCGGAATAGTTACTCTGAGAATATCCCTTCCCAGAATAACTATTCATAATGAAAGATTATTTTATGCTTCAAAGTATTTCTGGACCACTGATAGCTCCAAAACTTCAAGTCGGGCTGGTTCTTGGGAAGTTGAAACACAATGAACCCCAGACATCCACTGTTAATAAATGATAGCTCTGACCCAGACCTGCCCCCCCAAAGATAACTTAACTCCAAACGAACTGAAATACAGTAACAGCCTCAATATGGAAAGAGAAAAAAAAAAGTTTCCTCCAACTTCCGCCCGCACATTTTCTGAACAAGCCGTTTTTCTTGGGCATCTTCTCTCTCTTCCTTCCTACATCCCTTTCCCACATCTCCGAGAGCCTCTCTCCTGCTCTGGGGAAGAATGCCAAATGCTGCAATAAGCCTGCAAACTGCCTCGTGCCCTAGAATTGGCCTTCTGCTCTGCCCCACGAGAACTGCCCTTCACCGGGGCATCTAGGCCGTGGAAGGAAAGCACTACTTGTGCTTATGTGAACGTCAGGAAGTCCTTTCGGTTGGACAACTCCCAGGGAAGGGGCTCTGGTGTTGGCACGGAGGCCCACACCGACGCCTCCACCCGAGAACCAAGCAGGAGGAACCGTCTGCTCAGCTCACACTTACCAGAAGACCAGGCCCCAACAGAGCAGAAGGGTGGAGGTGCCGGAGGGCAGCCTCGAGTGGAGGGGCCCGAGAGCACACCTCCCCGTCCATGCGGAGCTGCCTAGGGGTCCCCAACATTTGCACTACTCTCGGGTTCCCGGGGTGGTATAGGAGCCCCCCTCTGCCTGGGCCACCCCTTCCCACCGAGTGAACACACAAAGTGGGTTATCCCACCTTTGCGAGTTCCTTTTTTTTTTTTTTTCAACTAATCCCCCGTGCAGGGGATCTGCCCTGCAGCGAGTGCACGGAATCAGACCTCCGGGCGTTCCCGGCCGGACCCCGGTGGCCGGCGGCCGCTGCACGTGGCCCACGAGTCCCGGCCGCACCGGCAGGCCGCCGCCTCCGGCCGGCGCAGGAAGTTTGGGGAGGAGGAGGGGGCTGGGGACCGGCGGGGTGGCCCCACTGCGGACGCCGCCACCTGCCCCTCCCCCGGTCCGGGGATTCGGGGGCGGGGGGACCGGGAGCGGGGGGCGGGACGGCCTTTTCCCGGCTGTCCCCTCGGGGCCCGCCCCCTCCTGCACCGCCCCGGCCGCCCTGCGCCACGTCAGCCGCGCGCGCCCACGCCCCCGGCCCGAGCCCGCGCCCACCCCGCGCCCCGGCCCGGCGCCCCCCCGGCCCGCCGCGGCGCCCCCGGCCCGGTCCGGCCGCCCCCCGCGCGCAGGGTGCGGGGCCCCGAGGAGCGCGGCGCGGCCAGTTACCAGGGCGCGAAGAACATGACGAAGTGCGCGGCGCTCTGAATCCCGTGCGTGAACATGTCGGCCGTGTACAGGTGCTTGGCGTGCGGGTCCTGCCCGTCCCCGCCGTCGGCCGCCGAGGGCCCGTCCGCCGCCGCCGCCCCCGGCTCCTGGGCCCAGGCGCCCCCGCGGCCGCCCCCGCCGCCATCGCCCAGCAGCAGGAGCAGCGGCAGCGCGGCCAGGGCCAGCGGCCGGGGCAGCGGCGGGAGGAGGCGTCCGGGGCGCGCGGGCATCACGGCGGGGCTGGCGCGCTCTCGCCGCAGCGGCCGGTCCCCCTCGGCGGCGCCCGCCCGCTGCCGCCCGCCCCGCGCGCCGCCCCCTGCACCGCCCCGCGGAGGCCGCGCCCCCTCCTCGCCCCGCCCCGCCCCCGGCGCGCGCCCGCTGCCCGGCGGAGGCCGAGTCGGCGCGCGCCCGCTGCGCCCGCTGCGCCCGGCTGCCTAGGGGGCGCGGGGAGGGGTGAGTGGTCCCGGCCGCCAGCACGCCCCCAGGGCCCGCTCAGCCCGGAGGAAGGTGACCGGTGGAGGGCCGGAGAGGGCAGGCCGGGAGCCACAGACAGGAAGGCCGGCGTCGGTTAAGCTCAGCCACACACACAAAGACCCCGGGGATTTCGGGCGAAAGGAAGAAAAGAGCGGCCGTCAGCGGAATGGAAGCGTTTGAGCAAAAGTGGGTGGGGTTTGCACCTGAATGAGTCAAATGCTTGGCCAGACCTCAGCTCTGATTCTGGGCCTGTGCTCAGAGGTGTGATGAAACCCGCTTTCCCAGTGAAACCCTGGCCTGTTATCCCCGCCCCGCCTTCACTTGGGGGTGAAAAGGAGAGAAGGTCCAAGTGGCCTCTTTCAAACAAGTCCTGCGGGGCTCATCCTCCAGACACCGGCTGGTGGCCTCCTGCGCACCCCTGCATTAAGGTAACAAAGACGAGTGAGGACGCCCCTACTCTGACTGCGCCCGCCTTGTGGAATGACTGAGAGGTAGCCCCTGGGCTTGGGCACCTCACCGTTCATACCTGCACACGTGCCTTACTGCATATGGTGATTGAGTTTTGGGCTCTGCCCTGGGGATCTGAAGATAAATTAGGGAGCATCAGTGGCTTGCTTCCTGGGATCCTGCTTGGTCCTTGATTATCCTCAATCTGGGAAACTCCAGGCAGTTACACTTGGCCTGACGGCAGCGGAAGCTCCCACTGACTCACCTGTCATTACCCCGCTCCACTCTTGGGGTCAGCAACTACTAAATCTTGAACCGCAATTTGCCAAATACCAAACCGTCAATTTCCCTTCAAAACCTTTCTCCCAACCACTTAAGCTTGAAAAATGGGGCTCACCTTTCACTTGCTCCCTCATTTCCTTTATCTGTAATTTAAACCAACCACGTTTCTTGCAATGATCATTTCCTTCCACCATTCTGAGTATTCCTACTCTGACTAGACCTTAATCCTGGCCTACTGCAGTAGTTTTCTAAGGGCCTCCTTTGTTCACATACCTGGACAATTAATTTTCCTAAAGCTTGCCTTTGACCTTGATGGTTTGCTGCTCGATACCCTCCCTGCCCCCCACATGCATGGTAAAAAAATACTCAAGGCCCTCCATGAGGAGCTTCCATGTGCTTTGTGTCCTGTAAAACTCACTCACCACTAGAAACTTTTATCCCCATGCTCCCCCAAACTTCACCCCCCCAAACTCTTCACCTGTGTAACCAAGAGAGGCCAACACAAGATTAGCACACGTCTTTCCTTAGCTTAATTAATACAAACAGAAACACAGGAGGCCTCCCACCACAGGAGCCTCTTATTCTTTCACACCTTGAATCCCTCAGAGACAGGAAGTAAAGGCAAGGAAGGTGGCTTCCTTGCTCTCCATTGCTCCTTCCAAACCATCTCTTCCCCTTCCTCCTGCAAAACCCCTAGCTGCCATTCAAGCAATGCTGTTGGGTATGGCATCCATTGCTCTTCTGATCCTAGTCACCCACCCACTTCTGTCATCTAACTTCTACCAGGTGGCTCCCCCCACCCTCTCCCCCGTTCACTGAAGATTTGGTTCCTGGCCACCCCTTTGGTGTCTTCATTCCTGGTGTCTTCAGCATCCAGGTGGATGGCCCACCTCTCTGTCCCTCAGTGACTCCTTCCCAAAGGGAAACCCTTGAACTTGTTATAACCTGAACTGCACTGTCTCCAAAATCTGAATTAAAGGTGTCACACTCTGCCCAACACCTCTTGTACTTAGAGCCAACTTGCTCAGTGTCCCCTCATCATGACTCTGAGCTCCTGATCCCATCTGCTCACTACAATCCAGATTGCTGTGTGCTCCTTGCCCCCTGACCAAATTGGATCCCATGAATTCTCATACTTGATGTCTTGCCACGTTCTCTTGCAGTGATACTGACAAGGCCCAAGAGAGAGTTTGGTTTCCCACTCTGTGCCATGCTTCCATAGCTCTACCAACAACCCCCCCGTCACTCCCCTCTTCACCCTCTCTGTTGAACTTGACCTCATACTGCTCTCAGCACACTGAAGCCAAAAGCACTCTTTCATATTTGCACCACCAAATCTACACAAACCTGCATGAGACCTTTCTCCTTCCTTCTGGTTAAAAGAGTGAAGGAGAGCGCCTGGGTGACTCAGTCGGTTAAATGTCTGCATTTGGCTCAGATCATGATCCCAGGGTCCTGGGATTGAGCCCCGCATCAGGCTCTCTGCTCAGCAGGAATCTGCTTCTCCCTCTCCCTCTCCCTGCCGCTCCCCGGCTTATGCTCTCTCTCTCTGTCAAATAAATAAATAAAATCTTAAAAAAAAAAAAAAAAAAGAGTGAAAGAAGTATCCCCCTCCTAGCAAAGGACAGTCCTCTACAGTGCTCTAGAGCACATCCACGGCTGGCTGAATAATGCACCCCCTCCCCTGCTCCAGATATCCAGGTCCTAATCCCTGGGACCTCTGACCGTTACTATAGAACAAGTGAGACTTTGCGGATGTAATTAGATTAAGGATCTCAAGGTGGGGAGATTATTCTGGAATATCTACGTAGGCCTGAAATGTAATCACAGTGTTTTTATAAGGGAAAGGCAGAGGGAAATTTGACTACACGAGGAGTGCAGGAGGCAAGCAGAGCAGAGAGAGATTTGAAGATGCTTCACGGCTGGCTTTGAAGATGGACGAAGCAACAATGAGTGGAGGAATGCAGCTCTAGAAACAAAAAAGCAAAGAAATGGCTTCTCCCCCAGGGCTCCAAGAGGGATCTGTGGCCCTACTGACAATGAAACTTTGGTCCAGTGAAACTAATTTTGCACTTCTGACCTCCAGAACTGTAAGAGAATAAATGTGTGCTGTTTAAGCCCCCAAGTTCATGGTGGTTTCTCAGAGCAGCCAGAAGAAATTGACATTATCTCAGCTCATCCTTCCAAGGGCTTTGCTCCTTCCAGGATCTTCTCTCTCTCTCTCTCTGGCATGGATTATGAACTGCTCTGTCTCTCCTAGACATTTCCATGCATGTACAAAATACTTTAGATCTCCTAACTTAAACATAAAAAACCTCCCTTAACCTCACAATATCCCAGCTACTATCCCAATTCCTTACTTTTCTTCCATAGCAAAATCTTTCAAGAAGTATCTGCATTTGGGGCGCCCGGGTCTCTCAGTTGGTTAAGCGTCTGACTTTGGCTCGGGTCATGATCTCAGGCTCCCCACTCAGCAGGGAGTCTCCTTGTCTTTCTCCCTCTACCCCTCCCCCGGCTCATGCTTTCTCTCTCTCTCTCTCTCAAATAAATAAATAAAATCTTAAAAAAAAAAGAATTCTCTGCATTTCACGTTCCACTCATTCTTGAGCCTAGGCCACTGTGGCTCCCACACCCACCACACCAAAGTCACCAAAGGTGTCCACATTGGCGAGTCAGAGGAACACTTTGCTCTCCTCATCTTACTGGGCTTCCTACAAGAACATCAGCTGCATCTGGATCCACTCATGATCGAGACTGGTGGCAGCTTCTCTGATTTGCCTCCTACCTTACCCGCCACACCTCAGGCCCCTCATCTCAACCCCTAAGGTGTTTGTTTCTCAGGGCTTAGCCTCCAGCCCACTCCCTCGCTACACTCACCCCCCACCCCCAGGGGACCTCACTCAGAGCCATGGCTTTAGACACTATCTCCATGATGACCCCATAGTGCATATATCAGCTGAGACCTTTCTCCAAGCTCTTGCTATCTATTTGATATCACCGCTTGTTTCTCTTACCAGCATGGTCGAAACCAAACTCAGGACTCCCCATAGCTGTCTGCTCATCCTTCAGTGTCTCCACTTGGTAAGTGCTGCTTCCCCGGGGGGTTTGCTCACAGGCTGCACACCTTCCTTTCCCTTTTCCTTATGGCTGTGTCTTGGGCCCCACCCCAGCCCCCACCTCACCCGAGCAGGCTCTGTCCCTTCCATTTCTGAAACACATCTCCAACAACGTACTCCCTTCCACTCTCTTGCTACGAGAGCCTCCTGATGTAACTCGCCCTTGAATCCCTCCAGTCTGGTTTTCATATAGCAGCTAGAATTGAACTATTACACTGTCACTTAACTTCCTTTGGGTGGCTTCCTTTTTTCTTAGGATGCGGTCCCAACAGCTTGCCTTGGCTTCCAAGGGCCTTCAGGAAAGACGTGGTCTCCTCCCATACCCCTGTGCCCTCTGCTCCCCTAGACTCCAGCCCTTCTGGATGATTCTTAATACCCTCCACTTACAGTGCCCCAGGCTTGTTTCCTCTCCCTTCCTGTGACTGGCCTCGTGGCCCCCTCAGCTCTCTCAGCCCCCACATCGCCTCCTCAGGGACACCGTCCCCGAACATCCCTCTGGCATAGCCTCTCTCTGCTCACCCCATGGTCTCCGTCACTGTGCGGCATGGTTTCCGCACAGCCCTTTGCACAATCTGATGTCCTTCTGTTGCAGATGCATGTGTTAAGTTAGTTCATTGGCCCTCCTGTCCATCAGTAAGCCCCGTAAAGGACAGCCCTATCTGTCACGGTCACCACTCCCTAGAACCCAAATGCCTGGCACATGGTGGACATTCAGCAAGTGTTGGGTGAAGGAGCCCATCTTTCCACCCAGGTCTCTCTCCCAGGCTCCAGGAAGACTAAATGACTTACTCTTTTCCAAATATACATCAGGCTATTCCCTGTGTCTGGAAGGACTCTCCCTTACCCAGGCCAATCACAGCCTTGCGTTTCCTGCACGAGCCATCCAGCACCCCTTCCCCCCGAGTGGCTCGGCATCACTGGCCCCT